ATCTATTATCAATCTATTATCTATCTATCTATCTATTATCTATCTATCTATCTATCTATCTATCTATCTATCTATCTATCTATCTATCTATCTATCTCTATCTATCATCTATCTATCTATCTATCTATCTATCTATCTATCTATCTATCTATCTATCTATCAGTCTATTGTCTGTCTGTCTATCTATCTATCTATCTATCTATCTATCTATCTATCTATCTATCTAGCTATCTAGCTATCTAGCTATCTAGCTATCTAATCTTCTGTTTATCCAATTATATCTCTTCTTTCTCTCTCCACTCCTCATATATCTATTCATCTATGTATTTCTCCTTGTCTCTCTCTTCCTGTGTATCAGTTCATGTAGCTATCATCTGTCTATCCAATTAGCCACCCATCCATCCATTTATCTATCTATCTGTCTACCTCCCTTATCTGTCTATTTCTCTCTCTCTCTCAATCTCTCTCTCAATTCATGTATTTGAATAGAATAGAATAGAATAGAATAGAATAGAATAGAATAGAATAAACAGAGTGGGAAGGGACCTTGGAGGTCTTGTAGTCCAACCCTCTGCTTGGGCAGGAAACCCGACACCACTTCAGACAAATGGTTGTCCAATCTCTTCTTAAAATCTTCCAGCGTTGGAGCATTTACAGCTTCTGGAGGCCAGAAGTTCCACTGATTAATTATTCTGCCAGGAAATTTTCTCCTTAGTTCTAAGTTGTTTCTCTCCTCGATGAGTTTCCACCCGTTGCTTCTTCTCGTGCCCTCAGGTGCTTATCTATCCAATTTACTCATCTATCCACATCTCTCTCTCTCTCTCTCTCTCTCTCTCTCTCTCACACACACACACACACACACACACACACACACATCTTCCTCTCTGGCCTTTCACATATCTATTGCTCTATTTAATTATCTATATGTGTCTGTCTCCCTCCCTATCCATCTACAGTATATCTCGATATACCTCCCCCTACCTAAACGTAGTATTTCTAAGCGTGGAGCTTTTAATGTGAGTTGACTAAAACTAAGGATCCCATCTCTATTTATCAACAGGCAACATTATCAAGAAACTGCCAAGGAAGACCGCTGTCAGTATAAAAGACACTGCCGTGTTTTCGGTGGAACTGGAACAGAAGTGCGAGAAGTTCCGATGGTTGAAGAATAAGGAAGAATTAAAACCCAGCAGCCGCGTTTCAATCTCCTCCGCAGACAGGGAATACACCATGATCATCCGGGATTGTCAAATGGAAGATGGAGGAGAGATTGTCTTTGTGGCTGATGAATGTAGAACATCCACACAATTTACTGTCTCCGGTGAGAGTGATTCCCCCCCTGCCCCCCCCATGTGTGCAAGGAGTTTGTTTCTCCATATTTATTACTTACACATTGCAGACTTCTTCTGAAGATCTTAGATGCTTAATGGCGTGCAAATACAGGTAGTCCTTGACTTACGACCACAACTGAGTTTTGTTTATACATAGATAGATGAGAGGTAGATGGTACATAGAGATAGATAGGTAGGTAGGTAGATTGAAAGGCAGTTAGGAAGACAGATAGATACCAGACGACAGATATACAGGTGCAATTCAGAAAGCATTCAGACTCCCTTCACTTTTGTCAATTTTGTTATGCTGCAGCCTGATTCTACAGCTGTTGAAATGTACATACATTTCTAAAACCCTGTTTTCATTTTGTCATTCAGGGATACTGATGGTAGATTAATGAGAAAAAAAAATGAAATTTAACAACTGTAGAATCAGGCTGCATAATGAAAGTGAAAGGAGTCTGAATGCTTTCTGAATGCATTGTACAGATAGACGGATAGACGGACAGACAGACAGATAGACATGTACATCGATAATAGATGATAGATTAGCTAGATAGCGAGTGAGCGAGAAATAGAGGGAGGGAGGAAGGAAGGGATAGCTAGATACAGTTTTGTCCCATGGAAATTCTGGTCTCGTTTGTGGTCTTGAGTACCTGTATAGAAGAACGATGAAGCTTATGATAATCCATCAAATCTTGGGAGGCAAGATTGATCCCTTAAACCAAAAACCTGGTTTAAAAGGTTCTTGGGATCAGGCGGGGTCAATTATCCAGATCAGTGGCACAGCCAAACCATGAGAGAAACCCAAGGCATCAGCCCTGTAGTGATAAAGCCATTTGACCCAATTTGATCCCCAGAACATGCTTGAAAATCCTAAGCGGAACACAGCACCAGTCAATTGCCACCGATTTCTTGCACTCAGCAGACATGCCAGCACTTACTATCTAGCCTTAAAATAAGATATAATACTATGATATATCAGAAGTCCTCAACTTATGACCACAATGGAGCCCAAAACTTCTGTTGCTAAGCAAGACAGTTGTTAAGTGAGTTTTGCCTCATTTTATTACCTTTATTGCCACAGTTGTTAAATAAATCACTACAGTTGTTCAGTTAGTGACCTGATTGTTAAATGAGTCTGGCTTCCCCAGTGACTTCACTTGTCAGGAGGTCATAAAATGTGATCACTTGACCCCGGGACACTGGAACTATAATAAATATGGGTCAGTTGCCAAGCATCTGAATTTTGATCATGTGACTTCAGGGATGTTGCAATGGTCATGAGTGTGAAAAACAGTCATAAGTCACTTATTTCAGTGCTGTTGTAAGTCCAATCACTAAATGAACTGTTGTAAGTTGAGGACTATCTGTACAACTTAATAATTGCAGTGATTCAATTAACAACCATGGCCAAAAAGGTAGTGAAATCGGATGTGACTCATTTAACAAACACCTTACTTAACAATGGAAATTCTGGCCTCCGTTGTGGTCATAAGTTGAGGACTACCTGTAACCAGATCAAATTCAGAAATCATAATGCAGACCTGTTTCTGAGTCTGACCCAGCCTGATTGCCATACTGGAAAATGACTTTGTTGGAAAAATCTCATTAATTTAATTTAATTTCTTTAATTTACCATCTGAAGTTGGCTACCCAACCTGCTGTCTTAGCCATTGCACGTTAAGCTAACACTTCACATACCAAGGAAAGAATGTGAAAACTGTACATAGAGAACATAAGTGAAGTAAGCATCACTGCATCATTTGCAAAAATAACCTTTTCTCACCATACTGCATCGTAGCTAGACACCAGAGGCCAAATAAGAAGTAACAGGTGGAAACTAATCAAGGAGAGATCCAACCTAGAACTTCCTGACAGTAAGAAGTTAGAACAATTGATTAGTGGAACAGCTTGTCTCCAAAAATTGTGGGTATTTCATCACTGAAGGTTTTCAAAAAATAAGCTGAATAACTATCAGACCAGGATAGTATAAAATTCCTGCCTTTAGCAGGGGGTTAGACCAGAAGACCTCCAAGGTCCCTTTCAGCCCAATGATTCTAAAAACCTAGAGGTGGCTTCAAAAAAGGCTGAGATGTAGGAAGTTACAGTAGTGTACCCCTTAGATTAGACAGATCATTTGTGTATTAATGCCCCATTTTAAGGAATACAGGGAGTCCCAACTTACAATAGTTCATTTAGTGATTGTTCAAAGTTAGGGTTAGAATTACGGTTAGGGTTAGGGTGACTGTTTTTTACACTTACAACCATTGCAGAATTCCCACGATCATGTGATAAAAGTTAAGGCACTTGGCAACTTAACTCATATTTATGACAGTCGCAGTATTCCAGAATTATATGATCCACTTTTGCAACCTTCAGACAAGGAAAGTCAATGGGGAAGTCAGATTCATTTAACAACTGTGTGACTAACTTAATAACAGCATGGTCTCGCTTAACAACTGTGGCAAGAAAGGTTGTCAAATGGGACAAAACTCACTGAATAAAGGTCTCACTTAGCGATAGAAATATTGGACTCAATTGTTGTGGTAAGTTGAGGACTCCTTGTATACCACTGCTCTGTATATTATTTTAAGGACAGGTAGAAAATGACAACACATTTCTTGCATGAAAGAAACTAGCAGTGATTGATTGATGCTTATCTTCTGCTTGGTATCTTCAAGGGATAGATACCTTAGGGTTTCTTATGTAATAAATGTGCTGTTGCTCTGAATAATTGACCCCATCTGATCCTAATAACATTTTAAACTAAGGTTTCCTGAAGGGGTCAGTATTGGCGCCCAAGATTTGGTAGAACTATTGTAGGGTTTGTTGTTCTTCTATACAGGTAGTCCTCAACCTATGATTGAGCCCAAATTTTCTGTTGCTAAATGAGAGGTTTGTAAGTGAGTTTTGGCAAATTTTATGATTTTTCTTGCCACAGTTGTTAAGTGAATCACTGCGGTAAGTTTGTAACAAAGTTGTGAAGTGAATCTAGTTTCTCCATTAACTGAAGATTGCAAAAGTTGATCGTGTGACTTCGGGACACTGCAACCGTCATAAATATGAGTCAGTTGCTAAGCACCTGAATTTTGATCACATGACCATAGGGATCCTGCAACAGTTGTAATTGTGAAAAGTGGCCATGTCACTTTTTGGGGTGCCATTGTAACTAAATGAACCATTATAAATTGAGGATTACCTGCAAATTTGCATGATTAGGAACCAATCAGTTTAATTGGACTTTCACATGAAGACCTGGTCTTTCACATCCAACAATGGGAAACACAACTAGACGAGCTAATTCTACTTTACTGTAAGGCTACCTGAATAACATCTTGCAAGGCTGCAAGTACAGGTAGTTCTTGACTTGTAACAATTCATTTAGTGACTATTCAAACGTACAACAGCGCTATCAAAAGTGACCAGTTATCATTCTTATGACTATTGCAGCATCCCTGTGATAACACGATTACATATTCTGTCTAGCACTGATAATGTTCCCTAGTTGAGTCATGAGATGTCTGCAGGAAAACAACCAAGTTCAGAGAGGACCAAGGACCCCACAGTCTTTGTCATCCTCCTCCTCTCCACAAACCCTACTTCCTTCTAGAACTGATGATGCTACCCAGGGGTGGAATGCAAATATTTTTATTACCGGTTCTCTGGTATGGCTAGGTAGTAGTGGCTAGGTGGTGTGACCATGTGACCGGGTGGGCGTGGCTTCTCCTTTTTTGTAGCCCCCACCCGGCACTCCAACTTTTTTTTGCTTCCTGGGCCTCAGGGAAGCCTCCTGGGTGAAGCAGTAAGACACTAATAGTCACTAAATGAATTGTTACAAGTCAAGAACTACCTGTACTTGCAGCCTTGCAAGATGTTATTCAGGTAGCCTTCCAGTAAAGTAGAATTAGCTCATCTAGTTGTGTTTCCCATTGTTGGATGTGAAAGACCAGGTCTTCATGTGAAAGTCCAATTAAACTGATTGGTTCCTAATCATGCGAATTTGCAGGTAATCCTCAGTTTATAATTGTTCATTTAGTTACAATGGCACCCCAAAAAGTGACATGGCCACTTTTCACAATTACAACTGTTGCAGGATCCCTATGGTCATGTGATCAAAATTAAGGTGCTTACCAACTGACAGTTTGTGACAGTTGCAGTGTCCCGAGGTCACACGATCAACTTTTGCAATCTTCAGTTAATGGAGAAACTAGATTCACTTCACAACTTCGTTACAAACTTACTGCAGTGATCTTGGCACAACTGAATGTCGGAACAGCTGATCGTCGGGAGGAAAAAATTTACTGTAAGGAGTGACTGGGCAGGGTGGGTGGGGGAGAATGCAGTCACAACGAGGTTGTGCATGTGCGCGATGTCAGGGCGGGCCCAGCCAGGAACACGATTTGCTGGTTCTCTGAACTGCGCAGAATCATAACAACCGGTTCAGTGTAGAATCCCATCCCTGAATTGGTACCAAATTAGGTCATGAAACATCTGCAAGAAAACCGCCCAGATCAGAGAGCACTAAGGACTCCCCCAAAGTACTATGTGATTGGGAAAATGATGGTGCTTACACAACCTTTGAACTACCTTTATATTCGCATGTTTAAAAAAATCTGTGGTTTCCTCCCAAATGTTGACTTGGTCTTTCCCCCTTCTCCTCCTGACCAGCTCCAAAGAAGCCCCCATCACATCCTCCAACTGACCCAGTGGTGAAAAACAAAACAGAAACCTCAGTGACGTTAGCTTGGTCTCTTCAGAAGACAGACCGGCCTATCCCGATTGATGGCTACCTTATTGAACGTAAGAAGCTGACAGGATTCACATGGCTGAGGTGCCACCAAGCTCTGGTGTCCCAAACTGAGTTCACAGTCAACAACATGACTGAAGAGGCTGACTACCAATTCCGAGTTTCTGCAGTCAACAAATATGGCCAAAGTGATTATCTGGAATTTCCTGGAGTCTGGCATCTTGGTAAGTTTTTTTTGCCCCAGCAATGGACTAAATTGGGGGTGATGAATGGATTTAGATTTTTTTTAAGCCACCAGTACCTAAAATTCTCAAATATCTTGTATCATGAACATGAATAATATGCTCCATTAATTCCAATGATCAGAAATTTCTCCTCCTCCTCCTCCTCCTCCTCCTCCTCC